AGTTATCTTTCGTACATTTTTATCAGTCGTCAAATGGATTTTGCTTTGAAAAAAGTCTTTCATCGAGTTTATGGCGTAGAAATAGGAAGAACGACCATTTTTCGAATAAAATGCTTTTAAAAAAAAACTATTGAACCTAGCCATAGGGAATACTTAATGAAATTTGTAGAGGTTTCGTTGGTGCTCGTTATGCATCAATAATATATAGGAATTTCCATTTAAAATAAGGAAGTTTCTGCAAATTTTCATTTACAATATGTGGCAAGCGGTTTTTCATACCCTGTATATCATAGGTAGATTTCAGATATATCGTTTGAGAGAGTTACCAATGTAGAATATTTGACAAAAAAAAATTCAATTGGACTTGGTACATCTTTATAATTTCAAATATTCTGAGTGACGAATATTGGAAAAAAAACCTGTCATGCTAGATATCTCGAAAACCGTTAATATATTCGAAGTGAAGATATACATAAAGTGTCTTTTATTTTCTATGTAGAAATCGAAAAAACGATAAAAAATATAGGTTGCCATTTGAAAAAACACAGTTGGGATCCGCCCAGAAAAAATTTAACACCCTGTGTGACCGTCCATATTTTTATTTTGTCGAGCTCGAGTAATAAGGTGATATTATAGAAATTTTGATTCCTATCTGTTTCCTAAATAGAGATAGGGAACACCGCGCCACTGTTGCAGGACCCTGTATATGATCATGTAACACAATTTTCTTTCTTTCGTCATTTTTATATTTCATGTTTTTCTACTGTTCCACCAAATCAAACCCCTCCGAAATTGTTTTCTGGCTATGGCCTTGGGAGGGGAAAATGGATGATTAGGGTTTAGGTAAGGTGGAATATCAGCTCAGTAATCAATTTTGAGCAACCTATGTAGGCATAATCAGGGTTCAGATTGATCAATATTGAGTTCAGGTTGAGTTCAGCTGATAATCAAAATTGAGGTGAGGTTTGGTTAGGTTTAGGGTGAATTGAGTTCTTGTAAGGTTAGATTACGCAATTCATAAAAATTATTTGATGTGTGATTCAACAAGTGATTCAACTTCACCATTCTATTTTCATGGTGATGAATCAATTCAGTAAATACCGACTCCACGTGCATGCTACAAAATAGTAAATTTAATGGTGACCCAGTTACACTGTGTCAAAGAAACGTTTGAGCTTCGTCGGTGTTACGAAAATCCCTCTAAAAGTTAAACACACACACACAGACAATTTCTTCTTCGAAGCGGAAGTTTCCTGAGTAAACTCAGCGGTGAACTTTCAGTATATGCGGTTTATCTAGAGGACTAGAGCGGCTGGTGCACGTAATGTTGTTTGCCGTCGAAAATAGAGGTGCTTTCTGTTTATATTCCGATAAAAATTTCATCTGGAGTACGTGCTCTTGATGGACGTTCTCGTTCACTAAATACGAAGTTGTTCTTTTCGAGATCGGTTTCGTTGGAGTTCCTGGAGTTACTTGATTGGATTATTATCCGGCAACCATTCAGTGGCAGCTAAGGAAATCACTTGTGAAGATTTCCTTTGAATGGTTTTTCACAATTTTGAGGAAGGCTCAACTCGACTAGGAAGGAGTATGAAAGATCGGTTCCATCTGGAATCCGCACATATTGTCTATTTAACGTTCATGAAGAAGTTCGTATGAATTTGTTCAGGGAAAAGCTGAAAAATTCAACTTGTGAATTGCAACCAAGAAACCAATAATATCTTATGTCGATGCTTCTAACAGAAAAGTATCTGCTACATGGACTGAAAAGTATCGGGCCTAACACATAGATGGCGCTAATCGTATTGCATTCACTGCTTTTTCAGTCAGTACTAACCTTCAAAGGAAAGCTGTTGAAATTTCATGATACTCTACTCATAAGTTTGTAAGTTAGTGTGCTAAAAATGACTCTACTTTTGTTATTTTCAAAACAATGGATCAAACACGATTTCATGTTTTACTTTACACTGCTTCTTGATGGAAAAAAATACCGTTAAAGTGAAGCAATGACTTGAAAAGTGTTATAAAGAGTCCACTACATTATAAACTAGTCTAATCAACAAGTTCAAAAACATGAAAAATAGAGATAAAGGTCCTAAAAATATCAGCGGTAGCTCATTCGATTCTGAATCACCTCTAGAAAAATGTTTTTGGAGGATTTTGGAGCAGATAAAAAATTGCAATTGTTATTAACAAAATAAGATTTAAAAAATGGTATTTAGTTTTTCGTTAATAACTCAAAAAATATTAATATTTAAGCAATTTTGAAAAAATCTCGTTAGAGAGGAGGAAATTTCCGAACAAAAAGTCACGAATCCCGAAACTCTATCTCCATTATTTATAATTTTAATTTGACTTTGAAAATAGGGTTCCGCGCGGCTGTTACGTCATGCACGCGCTGCCGCTAAAGAGAGTTTATCAAAAGAAATAATTTTTTTATAACATAAAATAACATTTTAAAAATTTGGAAAAATTCTAGTATCTTCTTAACACTTGAATGAATCGAGTCCCATCGAAAAAAAAGTGTTATCACCATTTTTCGAAGGTTGAT